CTGCGAAGCCAGGAGATCACGCAATGAGCACACTTGTTCAGGTTCGCCGCAGCCGCATCTCGACGAACAGAGTCGGAGAGCGAGGCGTAAACCAAAGCACACGAGCGCTCGACGTCAGCGAGCTCGGTGCGGACCATCTGGTCCATCTGTCCCTTTGCTGCGCGAGCCACGGCGAGTACAGTAGAGCGATGCTCCACCAGGTACTCCGCCACAGGCGAGGTAAATGCAATAGGGAGTGCATCGAGTGTCGGAGGAGATAAAAGAGACGCCTCCGAAGAACAAGACGCAACCTTCTGTTGGTGCGCGCGAAGTTTCTCGACGTCGCCATGAAGGACTCGAAGAGCCCGATGGAGTCCTTTCATGGACCACATGGCTTCGATATCGGCGCACTTCGTTGCCTGGGCGGTAAGTCCTTCGCCTTGGAGGACGATCGTGGTCAACTCGAAGTGCCACTCGTCAAAGTTGTCGATGCCGTGAAGGTGGTTCGTGACAGACAGGATCGGGCGGGAAGAAACAGAGTTCGGCGTTGTAGTGCTCATGACCAGTTGAAAGGGGAGGTAGCGAGGAGAAGTACAAAGTTGAGGAGATCGGGGTTTAGAGTAAAAGTGAACGGTGGGCGAAGCCATCCGTCAGTTATGCTAACTGCCAATGAGGTCACGACATCCAAATAATGTGACGTGGCCTTCGCTGCAACTGACTACTGATTTCCCCCCGCTAACCGAACGGGGCAAATTTGGTGATTTCTATAAATTTATGATATTGAATGTCAGAGGGATTTTCAAACTTTTGAACGCATTCACGTGCGAGTACAGCAATTCAAACAGCCATGCCAAGCAAAATGAAGTTGCGGATGACTCTTGTGGAGAAGCATGAGCTATATGCGAAGCATTTAAGCGAGCCAAATGTATCCAAGTCTGCCCTGGCCTTGTGGGCAGCTCAAGCACCTGGTCTCTCGTCAACTCCATCGAAATAGACTGTGGCGCTTGTTCTCAAGCGCTGTAGCACACCGAGCCTGCGTGCAGATAAGGCCAAGCGCACAAAGGAACAACGTGTCGCGCTACCGGAGGTCGAAGTAAAGCTTGTGGAATGGGTTCTTCGCTGCGAAGAGCTCGGTGTTTGCATCACTGGCGACCTCATTAGGCAGCAGGGCAGCAGGCTCGAACTATCTGCGGCGAACTAGGTGTCGAAACAAACCTACGCTTCTCCAAGGGTTGGCTGTACAAATTCCGAAGAAGAAAGGGCTTACCAGCAAGGTGCAGCACGGCGAGGCCGGATCCGTTCCCCGGAAAGCCGTCGACGTTGGGTGCCGCGAGGTCCTAAGTATGACCGCCGGTTACTCCAGTAAGAATGTGCTCAACATGGACGAAACCTCGTTCTTGTACTGCATGTCGCCGCACCGGTCCTTTACGTGCAATCGGATGCCTGGGACGAAGAAGTCAAAGAAACGCATCACGGTGGCACTCACCACGAACGCAGCCGGCACCGACACAATCGACCCCTTGTTCATCGGCACGGCAGCAAGACCTCGTTGTTTTGGAGGTCAAACGCCAGCAGAGCTTGGGTTTGATTACTACGCGAGCAAGAAGGGTTGGATGAATTCGGACATTTTCAACTCGTACCTGGAAGCTCTGAACGTCAAGATGGCTGAGCAGGGTCGAAAGGTCCTGATGCTTGTCGACA